GTCACTAGGGCTCAGATTGAGAGCCCATGGCATAGAATATGTGCAGTTTCTAAAGGGTCAATCGCTGCTCTACTACCCACAAGTCTTTTTTATATTTTTCCTCACTTGTTCCACTAAGTTCTCCACATTGCCTATGAATTCCTTTGGTTTAATTTCTCTGAGCGTCTATTTTTCTGGTTCAACTAAATAGTGAGGGAGCTATGGCTGGGAAACAGAGGAGGTGGCGCCAAAATCATCCTGCCAATTTTTTTCCCAGCAGGAATTGTTTTAAAGGATTGAACAAACTAGAACCTCCCTTTCACTGCAAATTCCAGTGCCTGCCAGATACTACAAACGAGTGTAATAGCTCAGGGTCAGGGTGCCTATGCTGACTTAAGGTGTGCATGAGGAATGAGAGACACAAAGCTTTCCTGCCTTTCTTGAGAGGATAAAACTCCAGATCTGTGTGGGAAATAGGATTTTACACCAGTTCAAAACTTTTAAAGATCATTATACATTGATCTTCGCACGAACAGTCGTGGACTAGATGTTGCTGTTTCATGCCCACTGAGCTACATCCTTGCTTATGTCTATGATAGAACCAAAGGAGATCTTTGGCCCCGGCAGCAGGTGCCTACTAATTGTTTCTTTGCCTTCATTTCATAATTAAGTGAATGTAACCCCTCCCCTGTGTTAGCTGGTTTTCATCACTGTTACCAAATACCCGAGAGGGGGCTGGAGACATGGCTCCAAATTTCAGAGCACTTGTTATTTATGCATGGGACCCAGATCAGTTCCCACACTCTCACAGTATCTCACAATTATATGTAACTACAGTTCCAAAGGACCGGACACCTTCTTCTGTGGACTTCATGCATATACACAGTACATATACATACATTCAAGTAAAACATGAATATACATGAAAGAGAACAAAATAAATATTTTAAAAAAACACCAAAGGAAAAAAACTTAAAAGAGGCAAACAATTTCAGAGGTTTCCACCTGTGAATTGACTTTATTGATGTTAGATAAACATCAATGTGTGACGAGACAGATCATCATAGTAGGGAGCATGTAGTAGACAAAAGAGCTTGCATCATGTCAAGCAGAGAGGTGGAGATGAAGGTATGTTCTAGCTTGTTCAGTCCCTTAAAAATACATCCACTGGATAATTCATAAACAATGGAAGTTTATATGGAGCTGGTAAGGTGGTAAGTCTAAGATCAATGGCCACACCTAGTGAGGGTCTTCATGTTTTGTAGTATTGTAGAAGATATTATAGAGAGAAATAGAAAGAATAGCTTCAATCCCTTTCTAATTGGCATTAATCCATCCACAAGGGTGCATGCATTATTTTAGGCTCTTCCATTCAGCCTACAATTTCCCACTCTGTTGTAAGGAGAATTAAGTTTCCAACATATGGTTTTGGGGGAAGATCCAATCAAATCCCAGCAGGATATTAGAGAAATAAAACATCACAATTATACATATCTATAAAAATGTTTTTATTGTGTGATAGAAACAATGGCATGGGTACACTTCTGGTTTGCATGCTGTCTTAAAGATCTTCAACAGTAACTTAGAGGAGGAACTTGGGTAACATATCCCCATCAAAGGCATCTTGGAATGAGTGCTTCAGGTTTGGCTTCCATGCATCTTCCTTTCACCAGACATTGTAGAAGTAAGTCCTCATTAATGTTCTCAGAGGAGACTTATGATAAATCTTTCCGCCAAAGCCGCCCGAGCCCAACCACCACATGGGCGGTCTCCGCCAGCTGCCCGAGTTCTGTCTGCCATGTGGATGGAAAAATAATACAGAGACATATTAGGTACAATGCTGCTTGGCCAATGACTAGGATTCTCATCTGTTAGCTCAGTCTTAATTATCATACATCTATATATTTTATAAGACTTATCTTATCAGACACCTTATTGGCATCCCTCCTTGCCGGTGGATCACATTGTGCTGCTGAAGGAGGAAGAGGAAAAAAAGTGGGACACTTCCTGTTTCCTTTGCTTAAATATGAGTCTCCTTGTTACGTCACTTCCTGCCTGGATCACCACATCTCTACTACATTTCCCAGAATCCTCTTTGACTCCTAGTCCTCTCTAACTTGCTGTTTCATTGGCCAAACAGAACTTTATTTAACAATTAATAAGATAAACATACATAGTACCTTCCATTCTGCTACGATAAATCTTTCCGCCAAAAGCTGCCCGAGCCATACTGCCACGTAGTTGGTCTCCACCAGCCACCCAAGTTCTATTATTTTGTCCATCCACACGGCAGGTGGAGGCCACCCACGTGGCAGTATGGCTCGGGCGGCTTTTGGTGGAAAGATTTATCGTAACAGGAGACAAACTGAATGAGGCTGAAAATTCAACCAGAAAGATGCAGGGAAGAGAGTTCTTGCCTATTTCCTTTTTCTGAATATCCAAATACATGTGGTCTCATATTTCCACCTCTACTTTGTGAATAGAACAATGAATAATCCATACTTATTGAGCATGTGTTACAATCTAAGTACACGGTATCCTATTCTATCCATGCAATAGTTCTTACAGCCAAGACTATTATGCCTCCCATTTTATAGATGAGGAGACTGTGGTTTGAAAAGAATAAGTAACTTATCTATGGGAAGTGATAAATTCAGAATCTGTATTACAGAACTCTCTAATGTCAAAGCTAGTATTCTCCATATCTGCCTATGTGGCAGGGGAAGGAAATATAGTACCTATCTTCAGGATGTGCCTGTGGGACCAGACATGTGTCTTGACATGCCCAAAGTAATTCAAAGTTAGAGAAGTGAGGGAGTACACAACAATCTTAACTTCTAAATAGTAATGAAGATTAGCATGAGTCATCATTGATGTGACACCAAAATTCATATTTTGTAATATAATCTAATATGCATCACCATGCAATCCACAGAAAATCTATTCATTTTACAGTTGCCAGAACTGACAATCAAGAAGTTAAAGCACAAACCTCGTCAAGCCACAGAACTGATAGGTGGTGGGGCTCAGATTCAAAGTCAAATTTCTACAATTTCTAAGTAAGGAATATCTTGAGGAATATTCTTTAGAGCAGAACACAGATGCCCAGAATGAGACAGGAAGACAACTAGCCAGAAGGATTGAGCACCTGGGGATAGAGCAGCAGGAGAGGAGAATGATTGAAAACAAAGTGCAAGGAACCACATGTATGAAAAAACAACATAGTGAAATTCATTAGTTTATATACTAACCAAAAAAATACAAAAGTTAAAATAAAATTAAGAAAAAAACTTGTGGCTTCTCATGATGAACTCAGTGATAGAGCACTTAGTTGGAATGTGCAAGGTCCTGGGTTCCATCCCTAGCACCACAGAAAAATCTCTTAGGCTTTAATAGATGTATTGTTTAGTTATTCTGTTCAGTCAAATACATAAATTAAGGAATTAGAGGATTTTTTAGAAGGAAATGTTATTACTGGCCAAACACATTTGGTGATATGAACTAGCAATAAAGAAAACATTGCCAAGTAAAAGCACCATCAATCCTATTTGTAGAGCAGACTCAAATCTTGTGTAGTGTGTTTTATTGTCTGTGTATGTATAATAAGTCACAACAGTCCCTAGTAGCTAGATCAACTCTTAGATGTTTAAGATATGAACACACCAGGGATGAAAGAGATTAATGTCTTTTGGCCACTGTACAATTGATTGTTTTACATGTTTTTCTCACTATACAAATCTCCTAACTCCAAAGTTGAAAAGTCCTACTATTTTCATTTATGGGAAGAAAGTGGTGTTGGCGGGATTTTTGAAGGGAAGAGGTATTAAATGTGGCTATTAACTATATTGAGGTGTTCCTGCACTTCTAAAACCATGGTAGAGGAGGAGTTGGGAACATCTGCAGCCCCTACAGGATCCCAGGAATGCTCCAGACGTTTTACTCTGTCATTTCCTATCAGTCTTGTTTTGTAAATTTTATGTGGCGATATCTCCTTTTTACGACATGTTTTAATGTGTCTTGCAAGACAATTCTTAATCCACTTTTTAAACAGTTCCCTTGGGTATGAACTACATTTTCCCTATCTGAGCCCAGTGTAGATTCCTGATCTACACCCCCTACATGTTAAGCTGAATAATATCAAAGCATGTCCTGGCAATGATAAATGCCAATGTTTTATGATGACATCCCAGGAATTTGATTGGAGCTGCCAACCGATATGAATGGTATCTTTACTATTTGGTGAGTTAAGCACAATAATAAGTACATTTGTTAGAAGTATCAGATACTAAAGGGGAATATTCTCCACTTATAGTGACATATCTGAAACAACTCCAGCATTCATCTGTAGGTGAATAATTAAATTATTGGACAGCCATTTTATAGAATAGTATGCAAGCCCCAAGGAGAAAGTAGATCTAAATTTATGGATTTGCACCAGGCTGCACAATAAGCACTTTATATACAGTGTTTCATTTAATTCCCACAACAAAACCATGGAATTCTCACTATTTAGATAAGAGCACTGAGACCTAACCAAAGCCCTGCAGGTTATAAATGGTATGGTAGTAGTAAGAATGGCCTGAATTCTGTCAGCCACCAAATCCATTTCCCTTTCCATTTGCATTGTAGTAGCTTATGCATGTCAAAGCTATATGTGTGTATAGTTGATTCTGTCATGGAGATTTTGTTCAAGATGAACAGTGACTTGTATAACCATGGAGATGAGAAAAGTATTATGTAATAGTAAAAACAAACACATCTGGATGTCAAAACTGAATTACACATGAACGAGGGTTGTTTCTAGCTCTTTCCATGATTGAAAGAGAACATTTCAGAGCATATTTCGAGGCTGATTTCATGTGCTACAAGTTGGAGATTTTTCTGGTATTCTCAGAGCTATCTCTCTGTTTACAATGTTGAATTCTGTGAGTGAAATAAGAAGTCAACTGTAATTGTTTATAACATGAGAAAATCATTTGTGTACTTATTTGTTGCAACTTCTCATCTTTTAATATTTACAGATGGACAAAAGAGAAAGAAATCTTTGAGAAAGAAACTGGATTCCCTAGGAAAGGAAAAGAACAAAGACAAAGGTAAAGGGCTAAATAACTAAAGCCAATGAATCTTGCAGGGAACATGCTGGTTGGATTGGGTGGAGATTTCAAATTGCATCGGTTTATGTGGTTGGGTTCTATTATGTAAACTACATTTCTGTAATGGAATGTCATTGAGAGCCGTTTGGGTCTACTTTTCTGTGTTTGAGTATCCCTATGCTGAACTGATGAGTTCAGCTGGTTTGACCAGTGGGTGACTACAGCCAAGGTTGTGGTTCCAATTATTCTGTCCAATCAGCTATGTCTAAAGAGGACCGGGTTGAGTAGCCATGGACAGCATGCCTAATACTAACCAGCTGTTTGGCAAATGCAGGCAATTAAGCAGTACTAATTAAATGAGAAAGAGTTTGGATTCATCTACTATGACTACAGAAAAGAAACAATCTACATTTTGTGGCTTACTGAAGATAGGCCATCCTCAGCAGTTTTGTTGTATCACAGAATGCTTGGTTTGGATCCCATATGCTTTTGGCAATTGCTGGCTTTCATCACACTGATTTGTGTCCATTTCTATGGCTATTTAGGGAAATGACACTTGAGCCACTCTTTCAGAGACATTTGTGGTCAACTCGAGTTTGTACTCTTTGGTTGTAAAGGTCACCTGGACCCCATTAGCACAGTCTAACTTTTTTAATGATTTGTTCACATTGTGTTATAGCCACTGATTGTTAAATGGTGTAATTGAGTGAATGTATGTTCAATTTATGTGCCACAGTGAATGAGTGTTGAATGTGGAAAAACATATGTCTCACTTTGGAGTTCTCATATATAGTAACTGCATTTATGCTTGTAGTGGAAAGCAATGGCTTTAAAAATAAATGCATTACAAATTGCACTGGACAAGCCCTATTCCAACACTAATACCAGTCTACATACACATAACTTAAAGTGTTCCTTAAGGTTTATGACATTTGGATGAAAGATCCTAAGGAAGATAAATCCACTGTTTTGCTTCCCTTACAGTGGGGTTTGTCTTCCTTGGTGCTAGTAGCAATGTAAACTGGAAAACATTTGTGGCATATGTTGTACTTTGCAGTGTGAGATATTTAGCAGCATCCTTGGCCTCTGTTAAACAAGTGCCAGTAGCACTGCCTCAAGTTTAGCAGCATCCTTGGCCTCTGCTAACTAAGTGCCAGTAGCACTGCCTCCAGTTTAGCAGTATCCTTGGCCTCTGCTAAGTCCCAGTAGCGCTGCCTCTAGGCAGGCTGTGCTCAGCCTTCTAAATGTGTACCTCAAGCTGGGCAAAAAGAGATAAAAGTGTTAGGAATCAATACCTCTAGCTGCAAAATAGAATCATGGCTGTAATATTTCATTGTCTTAAGGTCCAGGAACTGACAAAGGTAACTCATGGTTAGAATACTTGTCTAGCATGCATGAGACTAATAGTTCTGTTCCCAGCACCCCCAAAAATACGAACAAAAGAATACTTAATGGCCATATCTTCACTGTAGTGAATCTAAGTGCATTGCTATGCAAGGGTATTTCAGGCATGAGCTGTCATTTTATTTTAAAGAGAACTTCCAATGTACACATTCTACCATGAAAATTGTGATCATATTCACCAGGATACTCAGCAGTATATGAACAAACTCAGCAGAATTTGGAAGAGTGAAGATAAAGGGTGGGCTAGCTGCATATCCACTGTCTGATGAATTTTATTACATGTATATGTTTGATGTTTTATTGCCCTTATTTTTGTGTTTTATCTTTGACAATTTTATGAATATGTATTATAGTATATTATATTGTCATCATATATTATACTATATTTATATAGTACATAGTATATTATATCGTGGTCATATCTAACCCTTCTTACCTCCTCTTATCCTCTCCTGCTGAACCCCTCTTCTGATCTAGTTCCCTTCCTACTTCCCTGTCTTTTCTTTGTCCAGGTCTTATGCAGGTGAACACAGATGTTATGTGTTCATGAGTACAGTGGACATGCCATATGCAGAAGACTGCATCTCACAGCATTATATCCCAGCCTCTAGACCTTAAAGTCTTTCCACTCCATCTTCCTCAGTGTTTCCTAGGCTTTAAATGGGGTGAAACAGATGACTCATTTAGGGTTGAGCACTTAACTACACTAGTCCCCCACTTATCCATGGGAGGTACATTCCAAAGACTCAATGACTCAAATTTTGGCTAATAGCAAACCCATGTGAAGTATGGTTCCCTTTGAATATATTCATACATATGGTAAAGTATAATTTAAAAATTAGGCACAGTAGAAGACTAACCAAAATAACCAACAATAAGCCAATTATTATAATATGCTGTGATAGAAACCATTTAAAATATATGACTTTCTTATTTGGTAATTTTCCACTTAATTTTTCTGCAGTTTACTGTGAGTAACTGAAACATTGAAAAGTGAAGATAACTATATGAATAATTCATCACTGCTTGAAGTTGCTTTACTCTAGAATAATGATATTGGTGTTGGGATCAAAACACAGGTAGTTTTTAGAAAGTACCCATTTATACTACACTAAGAAGAATGATTTGGGGGGACAAGGATGGACTGATGCTTGCATTTCCTAAATTGGTGTGTAGGGGGGTGTATGCACTCATATTGCATATTAAGAAAGCAGAAAGAAAGAACATGAGTGAATAGGTGAGTGAAGATTAGCAAGTAGGGAACTAATTAGTGTTCACTGGGACATTAAACATTTTTAGACCAAATCGTAATAATGTAGACCCAGTAAAAGCTTGGCAGTATTCTATATTGACATAAGAGAAGATGAGTGGAGAAAGGAAGTAAGCTCTTGATGATCCCAATGAAAAGGCAGATCATCCATCCATCTAAGGAGAAAATACCAAGATTCACTGTATGAAGCTTGCTCTTTATGGATTAGCTTTTTTGTTTAAAAAAAAAAAACAAGGTGGTCTATGCTTAACTGAAGCCTTGTTTGTTCCTGTCAACACTGGGAACCATTACCTGGCTACCTTGGGAACCAGAACCTGGGGATGACTGTGTGCTGGTGTGGCACATTTGTAATCAGTTCACATTATTTCCTTCCCTTTGGGTATTAGTGTTTGGGTTCATAACAGATGTACATGTGAAAAATGACCATCACTGAAATCCAAGAGGGGAAGAAGGAAAACAGGAAATTCTGAATGACCTCTTGGGTTAGGCCATCTAAAAATAAAGGGGAGCAGCTCTTCACGGTTGATCTGCTCTCCCAATACAAAATGATTCACAAATATTTGATATGCTATTATATTAATTTATTCCATCAGCATGAATCATGTCCTGCATGATATTTAATTTCTTGATATAAAATATACAACAAATTATATGACATTCTTGTATTCAGGCTGCTACTTAAAAAAATTTCATCTAAGTTTTGGTTGCCATATATATGGAAGCTAATTCAAGATTGCCAATGGCTTGCAAAACATATTTTCAAACAGAAGATTTTTAAGTTCCTAGTCGCTTGTAATTTAACTATTTGGAAAGCAAAAGTAACTTTCAGAAATTCAGACCATTTCTTTCTTGTATCAAAAAAACTGATTTTATGGAAAAGGTAAATAAATATTTTAAAACTATTTTGATCCAGTTCCAGGGCTTCCCTAATCAAGGCACATAGGTACTAGGTATTACTATGGCATAACTGTCCCCCCAGGACACTGACAGACTATCAATATGAATATTAGTTCAATTGTGGTACCTTTTTTGTACCAAAATCATATTGTGTCATGTATTATGGTTACTCACTAAGTCACTATATGTGAGCTGTGAAATCTTGTTTCAAATTCAAAAAAACCCTACAAAAGACTATTTGCTTCAACTTCTATTTTTGTTTCACATTACATAATAATAGAAAAATTAAGAATTAATTACATGTAGAAATTCTCTAAGAAAATAGATCCAAAAGTATCATTTAAAACCATCATTTTGGGCTAAGAACATCACTCAGTGCATAAAGTGGCTACCACATAAGTGTGAGAGTCTGAATCAGACCCTTAGAACCCTCATTTTAAAAGCCAGATTTGATGGTGATTGCCTATAACACCAGAAAAAATGAAGTGGAAGGTGTAAACAAGTGAATCCCTAAAAGCTTATTGCCCATCTAGTCTGGGAAACTTGTCAAAGTTCCAAGCCAGTGAGAAATCTGGTCTCAAATAAAAGGGGGTATGTTTCTGAGAGGGGAAACCAACGTTTTCTGATCTCCCCATGTACATATGCAAATCCAAACCCCCAAGAACACCCAAACATGAACATGTACACAAATCATACACAGTCATACACACAGAAACACACACACACACACACACACACACACACACACACCCACTGCTGGAGAAGAGAATGACCAGGGTGTATGTAATTCCAGAGAAATGTGTTGAGGTTAGCTCACAGAGGACTTTGTGGACTACAGCACAACTTTCGGTCTACATGATAACAGTACTGAGACATCATCATAATATACAAAGAAGCAATGACTTCATGGTGTTTTAAAATACTCTTATCATGCTACATTGTATTACATGAACTTAGAGTGGAGCTGACACCCACACAAAGGAATGGAGGAAGGGAAAATTGAAAGCTGTAAAATCCAGGAGCAAAGCAGTGGAACCATGGAATGAGGATTGTGGCAAAGGTGGAGAGAAGTAGATTTAAAAACAGAAGATAAGGTGAGGGTAATATGGCAAGATGATGGAATAGAAATGAGGCATGAAAAAGAAGTATTAATGTATGACTTTCTAAAGTCATATTTACCCCCATGAAGAGCAAGGTCTACTAAGGAAAGACAGGAGGTGAGACATGCTGTAGGAACACACAGCTGTAAAGGAACAAGAAGTGGTTCGTGCTTGGAGGACAAGTGAGAGCTGGAGATGGAAATGAAATGTAAATTCTGGGCAAACTGAGGTCCAGCATGGTCCTAAGGGAATGAGTGACAAATGTGGTATACAGCCAAAGGTCAGAACAGAGAAAAGTGATGGGTAAATATGAGAAGAGGGAGTCATGTGAACCATTTAGGTAAACTGGCAAGTCACCAAGTTTTATGCGAGATTGGGAATTTAATGGTGAGTCAAAGCCAATAATAGTAGAAAACAGCAAAGAGTAAAGGACAAGGACAAACCTGTGATGGTACACTTCTACCACAGGTGAGAGGACAGGGTTTTAATGGAACGGTTGAGAGCAAAGAGGTAAATTCATCATCTTTTGACCCAGTGTTTCATGAGGAGGCAAAGACAACCACTGCTAAAATCCTGGGGGAACACGTGGTTCAGATTAGAACATAACACTAGTTGTCCCTGGCCACACAGCACAGTGAGGCTTTGGTAATATCTTTGTCATTTAAGAAATCATATTATCAAGTTTATTAGCCTCTGTATTTGCAAACAATCTTCAGGTTTCTGAGATCTCCTTATAGAAAAGATTGAACTTACAGATAGGCATGTGCACCCAATGCTTTATTGCCACATACATGACAATTTTGCCCAATAGAATTTTGATGAATTTTTGATTTCACAATAGCTGTATTTTTAAGAAGAAAGAACATTCAGGGATCCTTCATAGAATATTGCAAAGACCTCAAAACAATATTCCACAGTTTGGAACTTAGAGAACTCTACTTAGTGAAGCTTGTAAGAGTCTTTGAGAAAAGCAGCAAGAAACTGAAGAGGCCACATCAAAATGCTAGCATTGAAATAATAAGCTTGCCCCTAACAGAAGTCTACCATACTAGAGAGAAATGAAAACCCATTCTTACTAGGGGCATCTTTTGAATGAGATTAAAAGAGAACTAAGCATCAGGAGAGAATGACCTTATATTATTCCTGTTTAATTTGTATTCACTTATTACAATACATAAACACAGTAGTGGACTTTCAGGTATTGAAAATGCTAGATAAGGAGGAGCTGGATAGATAGATCATGAACTGCTCTTGCAGAGTACTCAATTCCAGTTTCCACATCCCACATGCTGGCTCATAACCACCTGCAAATCCAGTTCTAGAGGATCCAACGCCCTCTTCTGGCCTCTGTTGGCCCTTGCACACACATGCATGCACCTATAAAGAGATACACGCCCTCACATAAAATATAAAATAAATATTTTTTTTAAATTATAGACTTCAAAGAGGCTGGGAATCTCTGAATGAGTCTGATAGGGTTTCTTTATATGGAAAAATGGCTATCAGAGAACTGAAGAGCTCCCATGGTAGAACAAGCCCCTGCCATGTATGTGCCTAAATGTATGTGCAGATTCATGTCACATGATCAATTTCACAGTCTTCTTTGTTGATATTATCCCCATCCATATCTGTATATTCTATGTGACTGTGATTGTTACCATGAGTATGTCCAAAGTTTTTGGAGAATATCTGATTATTTCTTGATTCTTACAAGAATCCTCCAAGTGCACAGCCTATGGCCTGGAACTGCTCTTTGCAGTATTCGTCTTACCTCAAAAGAGAAAGCATAACTTTTTGATTGTCATGCATCCCATAGATCACTGATAGAGCAAGCTCCTCTGAAAAATCCCCAGATGAACTTAGCACCTTTTTACTTCAAAACAAATTGCATCTTTTGATGGGACCAGAGGTATATGCCTTTAAAATAGCATTTCTGCTCTTAATGGAAACTTGGCTATTAGCCTAGTTTAAAATGTTATCACGAATCAAGCAAGAAAACCTTTTAAAGCCTCTTTCCACCTAGTTTAATGCTGGCTTTTTTTGTTCAAAGAACAAATGACCTTAGAGTGATTTTCCCTTGATCATTCCGGTTTCATTCACCGGACTTGTAAAAACAAGGGCTCTCCTAGACTCTAAATGCTGTGGCTGCTGAGAGATGTAATTTTGAGTCTAACAAGAATAATGCACTTAATTGAGTTATTAATACTTTCAGCATAAGTCCAAAATGCTACTAATAAAATGTCTGTCTCTGAAGAGCTAATATATATGAACACACATGTATTTACCACAGGGATGCAGAAAACAAACAAATACATACATACATACATACATACATACATACATACACACACACACACATATATATATATATATTGCCAAATGAAGCTAAAGAGTTCTGTATTCTGTATCTTCCTTAAATGATCCATACTAGAAAACAATAACAAAATATGTCCTGGGCTTCCCACAAGCTATATCACGGTCAAGTCCACTTCTGCATGGTCATCAGGAAGCCTGAGTATAGATTATGAAGGGACATGTATAACCCAGATATGTGGAGACAGGAGGTAGGGACACAGAACAAAAGGGTGGAAAAAAACAAATTTCTTCTTAAAGTGCTCCTAAATTGCTCCTCTGCCACTTAGGTTATTACTTGCTATATTGCCTCTTTTATTAGGATCCTTAAAGTATAGCAAATGAATTTCAACCTTGGATTCATTCATCTCTCTATTATTCAGATAAGAGTCATTCTGTTATAAGTATTTGTATGTCTGACTCTGCACATCCCCACCCCATCTCAGAACCCCTCATGAGAAAGGACTTGAGATCTTTTATAGCTCCCTCCATTGTAAAACTTGACATGTCAAGTAGTAGGTGTTCAATAAATGTTTGTTGAATGAATTCATATATGTGGTTTCCTCACGCCTTCAAAGACTTCTAAAGGATAAAAATAGAAGAGTAATGGCTTATAAAGATGTGTGATCATGAGCATAAAGTATTATTTATAGTCTGTCCAAATGTCATACTTCTTTACAAAGTTATTTCCTTTAAAACAGACTTGAGCAGATGGGGAAAGATTAGAGACCTACATTTCTAAAATGTGTATTTGTACCTACTAGCTTCCTTTACTGAAATGGAAACTTGGGATATTTTGTTCAACAAAACAAAGCCATCCCAGTATGCTAATTGATGAATCAATTCTTTGACTCAATAATTTGACAATGTCTTAATTTATGGATGTGATATGAATGAGCATCCTCTCCTGTTTGGACCTCCCCTGAATGTAAATATCTGTTTTTTTTTTCCTTGCAGAATTTATCCCACAGGCATTTGGAATGCCTTTATCCCAAGTCATTGCTAATGACCGGGCATATAAACTAAAGCAAGACTTGCAGAGGGAGGAGCAAAAGGATGCATCTGATTTTGTGTCTTCCCTCCTCCCATTTGGGAACAAAAAACAAAACAAAGAACTCTCAAGCAGTAACTCATCTCTCAGCTCAACCTCAGAAACACCAAATGAGTCCACATCGCCAAACACTCCGGAACCAGCTCCTCGGGCCAGGAGAAGGGTGAGTTGGCCAGCGTCTCCTCTGACTCTGAGAAAACTGAAAATGAGTAAAGTTGTCCTTTAAGTGTCTATTAACATGAAAACTAGACACATTGTAGATACCTCTTCCACTTGGTAATAACCAGTAGTGTGCATGTGGCAGCTAATGTTCCCTTCAACCTTTCCCTCCTGGTATCTTGGTGCCCAAATATTCTGCACTAATGCCACTGATGCTGGTCTCTTGTTATGGCAGGATGTCTTCTGCCATCTTGCTAGACATCCTGCTCAATCAGACCATCACAACCTTCAACCTATGGGCCACATGCATAACAGAATAGCTATGAATATACAAAAACACAAACCCATAAACTTACTTAAAACATTAAGAGAATTATTTTGATCATTTTGTTTTGTAACTCAGTTGTATAGTTCTTGAGCATGAACTTTATAGACGGCATCATAGTATCACACTGTCACTCTATGTATATGTATTGCACACATGGGCTATAGGTTAGATACAACTCTGCTAGAGCTTGAGTTTTGAAGCCAAGATACAGTGTTTCTGCTAATTTTTTCAATGCCATTTTTAGAATGTACCTAGAACAGTGAATTAGCCATAGCTGTTCAAAATGAATGAGAGATTTAGCTTTTTCTTATCAATGGAGTTTGTCATTCATTAAAAAGAACTGTACAGTCCTATATAGTCTCTTTCAAATCCATAATATAGCTATATGATGGCAGTGATGGAGTGGGCAGTATGATCTAGGCTCTGTGCTCTTTGTGTGTCACATTGCCAATCTAGAAAGCTGGGATTCTCAAGACACCCATATGGTAATTAGCATAGTCACTGCAAAGCATCTATGTCCCTGAAAGGCCTTTCCTTTTCTTCTAAGCTTTGGGCTGGTAATTTTTGCCAATCCAGCCATTAAAGACTTTCCTAGTTAAATATACAATCAAACTTCCAACTATAATTCATGTTTTTTAGCTATCAGCATTCAGGACTTCTTTCAAAATATACCAAGACCTAAAGCCCTGCTATTTTTTGCAGTATTGACTATGATTCAAAGTGAATAAAATGACAAAATTGTGGAATTTGTTCTTCTAAGCCTGTAATTGTCTTAGACTGTTTATAAATCCAAATAATAGTAACACCAGAACTATAAATTTGAGCTTTCTGAGAATCTAGGACCTAGGCAGTGAACTTCCTAAATGTCCCTTTCTCTGTCCAGGTCCTACTCAGACACCAGTAGCTGACTTCTTATCTCACACTTAACCCAGGATGGATGGCTGTAACCTCCTGCATACTGGAGTTACAGGCATGTGCCACCATGCCCAGTTTGAATCTTCCTATGTTTAAAATTTTCTTCCTAGAGCTATAGTTGAGGGTTTTCTATTCACAAGACTTCTATGACTTTACCTCATTCATTGAGTATGCATTTTTGTTTCAAAAATGAAGTGGTGGCATCAAAGTATTTTAATTATATGTTTCCCATCTTGTCTTCTATTTGGAAAAGTCTGTGTATTGAAATTGTAACTAACAATAGCTGTGTTGTAGATATTTCCTAACTTTTTCAAAAGGCATTTTTCCTACTAATATGTCAGCAATAAACAAATATATAAACAGCATAACAAAATCAAGCAGTAGTATCTTTTGAGTGTGATGGTCCTCCATGAATGTTCATTGAGTGGCCTCTGCAAGCAGATGCTTTTCTTTCTTCTGCCTGTGAACTTCAAGTCTACACATCACTTGCAGGGTGCCATGTCAGTGGATTCCATCACGGATCTGGATGACAACCAGTCTCGACTCCTAGAAGCTTTACAACTCTCCTTGCCTGCTGAGGCTCAGAATAAAAAAGAAAAGGCCAGAGATAAGAAGCTGAGCCTGAATCCTATTTACAGGCAGGTCCCCAGGCTGGTGGACAGCTGCTGCCAGCATCTGGAAAAACATGGTAAGTACACTTGTCATCAGCTGTCATCCTTCTATGCACCCAGTTTCAATTCTGTGTTCCTTTGAGTCAATGCTAGACCTAAACTTCCTCTGGTGAATAGAGATATTTGGGATCAACAAGAATAATAGGTGTGACATTATTTGGAGTCCTCAGATGCCAAGAGTCTTAATAAGGGGCTCTGACTAAGCATTTTAAGAAAGAATCACTTTTAGGAAAGGATCACTTGTGTTGGAATAACACCCTCTTCAAACAGAGCCAAGTCCCTTGCATGTTTTCATATATTGAGGTTTCTTACATTTCTTTTGACAAAAGCAAAGGTTTGTGTTTTGAGAAATATCTACTCTGAATCAGGCATCCCTTTACAGCTCAATTCCTATTAACATGATGACTTTAATATGATGAATAGTTCTTTAATTCTTTTCTGAGATTTAGATATTTGGCTCATAAAATGCCATATCTGTCACATATCTTTATTTTCTATAGATTTACTACATACTTTATGGATTTGGGGAAACTTCCTTAATCACTTATTCTCTCTAAAGATAAGATGTTCATTATATTTTTTTGTTTGGTTTGGTTTTTCAAAACAGGGTTTCTCTGTATATCCCTGACTGTTTTGGAACTCACTCTGTAGACCAGGCTGGCCTCGAACTCAGTGATCCGCTTGTCTCTGCCTCCTGAGTGCTGGGATTTCAGTATAATTTTTAAAGCACAAAACACAAGAAACTGTTGGTCCTATTGGTATAGCCATCGTATCCCAGCTACATACAAGGCTGGCCAGGAAGATTTCAATCTCATGATCTTCCTGTGTTACAGAGTGAGTTCAAGGCTAACCTGGGTTACACTGTAAGACCCTGCCTCAAAATGAAAATTAAAAAAAGAGGGATGCACTTCAGTGATGTAACACTTGCTTAAAATACATAATGCTCTAAGTTAAATCATCAGTCCTGAAAGAAAAAAAAAACAAAACAGCAAAGTGGGGATAAAACAAACTGTGAACATTGATTGTCATTTGTTTTCTAATTACAAAAATAGAATTTTGTGGAAAAAACATTAAGTACACATTTCAAGTTGCTTAATTAATTCACTATGTGTAAAAATCACTAGTAATTGAATGGCTTAATAAACAAATGTATTTAAATCTTAGGTTTTGTTTTCAGCACAGAATTTTTAATGCACAGTTTGAACCTAAAGGCAAGACTTAAGCTGATCAAGTATCCAAGGTCCTGATTGTATTCAAAGTGTCCAGAGTATTTCTATCAATGTATATCTATATATATCTATCATGATATATCTATGATTCCAGAATAATAGGATGCACATTTGAATTCAAATAGATACTCGTTTGAATATTCAGACTAGTGGTTTTCAACCTTCCTAATGTTGTGACCATTAAATACAGTTCCTCATGTCGTGGGGACCCCCCTACAACCATAAAATTATTTTCATTGATACTTTATGACTTTATTTTGCTACTGTTATGAATCATAATTTAAATATCTGATATGCGTGATATCAGATTTGTGACCCCAAAACTTTTTAATTTATTTATTTATTTTGGTTTTTCGAGACAGGATTTCTCTGTGTGGCTTTGGAGCCTATCCTGGCACTTGCTCTGTAGACCAGGCTGGCCTTGAACTCACAGAGATCTGCCTCCCGAGTGCTGGGATTAAAGGCATGTGCCACCAATGCCCAGCTCCCCTTTTTATTTTTATTTAAATTAGATACAAGCCTGCTTCACATGTCAATCCCAGCTCCCTCTCCCGCCCCTCTCCCCTCTGCTCCCCAGGGAGGGCAAGGCCCTCCATGGGGGATCCCCAAAATCTGTCATCATCCAGGGCAGAGCCTAGGTCCTCCCCAATGTGTCCAGGCTGAGAAAGCATACCTCCATGTGGAATGGGCTCCCAAAGTCCATTCGTATGCAGGAAATAAATACTGATCTACCACCAGCAGCCCCATAGATTGCCCAGGCCTCCTCACTGACACCTACTTTCAGGGGGTCTGGATCCGTCTCATGCTGGCCTCCCAGCCATCAGTCTGGGGTCCATGAGCTCCCTCTTGTTCAGGTCATCTGTTTCTGTGGTGACCCCCAAACTTTAAAACTTCAAAAAATAAAGGGTTTTTGGATGTTTTTGTTGTTTGTCTTGCTCTGTTTTGAGACAGGATCACATTATGTGAGACAAGCAACATCAAAAGCATTTCTTCCCTAATACTTTATTTGCCTGGTTTTTGAAATGGGTAGTAGAGGACATGTGTCACTTTTGTCTTTTAAGTATTTATTAGAGACCCTTTTTCCATTCTCTCTAAAATTTCTCTTGAAAATTTTTATTAGCTCCATCTACATTGATGTTCCCAGCCCATCCTCACTTAAATATCATTTCAAATGCCTTCACTGTGCTTAAGTCAAAATTCCTTAAGCACCTCAGATTTCCCGATACTACAAAAGGCAGAGAAAAGACTAGCAGAGAGTCAAAAGTTACTTCTGGAATTGAGCTGAGTTTAGAGTGAGACCTATTGCTTATTGTGCCTGTTCTCATTTCCTGACCCCTCTAAGCCTTATTCAGGTGCTTGTGGGTCTGGTGTCCATTGCAGTTTCTGAGGAAAAAGAGAGAAAAATGATCACATCAGTTTATTGGACGAGACTCAGTCAAGTTCTTTTTGAGATCAGTGTCTTTTCAGGGTACACCCATTTTTTAAGTGACTGCCCTAAGTCCTGGTTATTGAACAGCTAAACTGTACTTTCTCTCTGAAAAAAATCACAATAAGGGTAGGTAAGAAAATGGCATTTTCAGTTTAAAGGATGTCATTTGTTCTACCTTGAAAAAAATAAATCCAATTCGAAAACCAAAACATATTAGAGTCGATTGAGACATACCAGAATTATTGCCCAGTGAGAAACTGCTATGAATGAAGAATTAATGTCATAGAAATGGGCAATTCAAATAGCTTAGAGAAACTCATCCAAATGAATAGTCCCACCCTTGTGAAAATTATCCTCTGATATCTTTATTTTGTTGAAATTTGGGTATTCAGGAGCCATCTGAGAAAATATAAATAGTCAAATAAAATACATCTAAAATACCATGTTATTTTGTTTTTTTACTTTGCATATAGAAGACTCTTTGAGCCAATTCATGGGTTTTCTTTCTCTAAATAATAGCACATACCAAATATTATTCTAAGTATTATATGTGTTCTGATTAATGGAATTGGTACATACATTTTGAAGCACTGCTTAAGATCATTTTACAGAGAAAGAAATATAATTCTGAATCCTACTCTAAATTGAATCTCATATTTTAATGTTCCCAAAGAAATAGAAAATGTAAATTAGGTTGGGAGTTGGTCTCATTAAGGAAGTAAATTGATAGTAGTATTAAAGGAGGTGAGGTAGACACCTTACCCTCAAACAAAGCATCCATGTATACATATGCAAATCAGCAATAACCAGATTCCTGCTACAATTCTCTCAAATCATCGGGAACTTCAGGATAACACTTTTAAGAATCAGAACTGATGAATGGGATGTTTATGCTATTGTGTTTTCTAACAAAAAATCAAAACTCTTTGTAAAACCAAAAAGTGTTGATACATGAGGCTGGGGAGATGACTCACTAGTTAAGAGCACTTGCTGCTACGGAAGAGGACATAGCATCAGTTGCTAGACCCTACAAAGTGGCTCACAACCGCCCGTAACTCCACATTCAGAAAATCTGCCTCCCTCTTCTGGCCTTCATAGGCACTAGGGATTTTGTGCAATACATACACACAGGCAAAATGTACACATAACAATAAAATATAAAAGTAAAAGGCAAATGGATCTCTGTGAGTTTGAGGCCAGCATGTTCTACAGAGTGAGTTCCAAGATAGACTCTAAATCTACAGAGTGCAACCCTGTCTCAAAAGAAAGAAGCACTGTAAATTTCAGTTTATTTCTATTCAGCCTTTAAAACTCCCTAAAAAAGCTTGTATCAGTCCGTTGAAATCATACTACATATACATGATATTTATATCTATACCTAATTATAGATACATATAATAATTATATAGATACATAGATAGATATAGATGTAAGTGTAGATGTATGTATAGATATATGCATGAAGAGAATGGCACTGCTCTCAATGGTAGGCCACAGAGTTGTCATGTTTAAAAAAATTTCTTATAAATGTCATTTTAAAAGGATGCACAATAGTCTATCATATGAGTGGACCCAAGTTAGATCCAAATACACAGCTTGTTTTCCCCTTATAAATTGTCCTACCCCAACCCCTTCTGTGTACATGACTTTGTTCACAATTTTTATCATCTTAGAATCATGTCATAGATGTAGAATTATAGGGTCGATGCCTATAAAGAAGATCTCTCTGACCTATAACATCAATAGTCCCACAGGGAAAAAAATCTCATCCCAAAACACTTCAGGTAAAATAATTCCAAAGTTTAAAAGGCCAACTGTATATCTGGAGAAGGTGAGTAGTATGGCACATGGATGTGCCACTGAATATTGTAAAGTCACTGCTGTTCTGCACATCACAGCTTTGTACAAGCATTCTGCACTGTATCTACATTGATTTCATCCAGAGTCTCAGGCATAAAAAAAAAAACTCTTGATTTTGTTTGATTGTTTACAGGCCTCCAGACAGTGGGGATATTTCGAGTTGGAAGCTCAAAGAAGAGAGTAAGACAAGTAAGTGAAAACTGAAGGATATACTGTCCATTTCCCATGACATTTCATTGAATTAATAGGTAGAAAGTTCAAGTTTATGTAAATTCTCTCTATCTTTTCCCAACCCTCCATCCAATTATAGTATAATTAAATCCTAGGAGATAACACGCAACTAAGAAGGTTAGAAATGTGATGTTGGGGTGAAAAAAACAGAAAGATTATATCTGGACATGTCCATTCCATTCTCAGCTGAAGGAAAGCGTTTGATAAAGATGTCACTGAAGTGGGAAATGTGAGAGATTCAGGAAAATGCTTAATCAGTAAGGGATAAAATAGTGTCATAGTGGCCAGTATTACCCAAATGCACTAGGAAAATGCCATGCACAATCATCTAATCTGATACTACATTTATTTACATTTTCAAAAAAAATGCTTTATAAAATTCCATGAAACCTCTGGTCTCTGATTGATTTTTCAGAATAAACTGCATTTCTTGTTTTGTTTTGTTTTTTTCAGCCTCGCACTACATTCTTCTGGCAGAAATTTGATATTAGATTGTCAAGGATAGTTTCCTTTGATCAGATAGGTATTTTTGGTTGTTATGGTTTCCGTAAAACCCCAACCATCCTTTAACAAACAGAATCCATTTCTTAGCAAAAGACAGTTACAATGCTATTTTTCTTCTAGTGGTTGAATCAGAAGAAAATAAGGAACTCTACATTTTAAAAGTTAATCCAGGTCAAAATTTTAATTGGATATAGTTAAAGAATTATTTGTTCATATGTTGAAGTAAATACGATATCATGCATCTTTTTATCATTAAGATAAAAAATTAAAGTTGTTTTTTTCCTAACTGGTTTATGTGTATTCTTAATAATCACACAAGATGAATGAACAACATTTAACATTTCACCACGACACTTGTAAAATGTAAAACTGAATCACCCCTCCAGCTGTGGTCTCCTTCACCTTTCTTTTCAGGCTTATAGAATTTTAGAAATTTAATTCAAGATCATGTGATTAAACGAGCTCCTTTCATGGTCCACCTCTCTTTGTCTCCTCTCTCTCTCTCTCTCTCTCTCTCTCTCGCTCTGTGTGTGTGTGTGTGTGTGTGTGTGTGTGTGTGTGTGTGTGTGTGTGTGTATGTGTATGTGTATGTGTTCAGGAAACAATCATAATGTATCTGAACTAGCTTGATTGCAGTAGCTCTGTGGGTGCACTCCTCATTCTGGCTGTCTTGTAAATGCTGATGAAAAATTGTCTGGAATCAGTGAGCAATTGAGGGCAATGATTAGCATTTTCATCAAGTGGACAAATGATGAGTGCCAGCAATTATTCCTTGACATTTTTGGATCCAAAAAAAAGGGGAGAAAAAATCTTTGCATAGGGATTTACTTAAGGATTACTCACTCAATAAGCTGTAATTAGTGGTAACGTAGGACTAAATTTGAGTATGAAATATGCTTTAACTCACTCACTATTTTATGTTTTTATGTAACTTTTACATACCCTGCACATTTTCTTCAAACGTAAGAACTAGGGTTGAGGAGATGGCTCTTGGTGTGTAAGCATGAATTCTGGTGTCCAGCACCTGCTTAAAAAGCCTGGCACGTACCTATAAGTCAGCACTGGGGGTGAGGGAAGGCAAGCAGAGACAGAAGAATCCCAGAAGCTTGATGACCTCCTGCCTAAACAAGAAATGGAATATTCCAGGTTCAGTTCAGTGAATGATCTTGTCTCAGGGGCACTAGAAGTCTAGTGATAAAGGAAAACACCCAATGTCATTTTCCCTGGCCTCCACATATGTATACCTGCACACATATGTTCACATACATCCTATCCCCACAGATAAAGGAAAGGAAATATGAATATTTGTAAAGTAAGAACTTGTCATTTGTGGTGTAGTCTACTTATCTACCTTGTATCTCTACTTCTAAGGGATGAAGCTGGCCTACGGACTTTGCCTCTTTATTTATTAGTGTACTTGCATACTTTGAGGAGCTTTAGTAGGGCCTGAGACCCTGCAAAATGTGATGAGTCTTTGTTGAATGAATGGATGAATAAATGAATGAACTAAAGAGTCTTTCTTTTTGGTTTTTCAAGACAGGGTTTCTCTGTGTAGCTTTGGAGCCTATCCTGGCACTCACTCTGGAGACCAGGCTGGCCTCGAACTCACAGAGATCTGCCTGCTCTGCCTCCCGAGTGCTGAGATTAAAGGCACATGCCACCAACGCCCGGCTTGAACTAAAGAGTCTTACAGAAGTTTATTACACTATCTATCCATGGACTAGCATAATAATTTATGGAACAGAGAACAATACATAAGGCATGTCAAGCTGTCAGAGATAAAAGTGGGGCATATTATCTCTGCCACCTTGCTGCCATGTTTTCCTTCTGCTATCCATGTTAGTATGCTTTGTAAAATGATTAAATCTGATAATATTTCTGGTAATTTTTCATAAGGCTACTCTGACGAATTAAAGATAACTTTCATTTCAATGTATCATCTTTTAAGGCTTCATCATACATATCTCATCTATATTTTTAATTTTGTGATTTGCCAAATGACTTTGATTTTTTTTTGTTCGTATTCTAGTCAACTACCAAAATTCCAATGTGATGTGTTTGGTGACGTGCACAAGTGTTGTGTAATAATTCTCTCACATTTACACTTGACCTAAATTATCTTCCAACCCTTAGCCCTTACTCCCAATTTCCTGATTCTTGTTATCCAGTCCCTCTGCATACATCATTAACAATAAATCCACACTAGCTTTGCCATAATGCATTCAAATATATATATATATATATATATATATATATATATATATATAT